TCTCATATTGACGCTAAAGGATGCCAGTCACCTATATGACGCCTTGGGTTCTGCGTGTTGTATTTCGACGAAATGTCATATGACGTCGCCAAAGGATGAGAACGGGCTCATGTATTTTGTGTTGTACAGTATGTTGGGACGGAGGCGCCAGAGCTGCATAGAATAGGCTACACTGTAGCACAATAGTATGATATTTCTTCAAAAGCAGTACTTATGTTGAAACTAAAAGTAAAGTGTACCTCATCACTTTCACTTATCACAAATAAATCGAATCACAAATTAACCTTTAGAGTGGTCTGAGATCACTTGGTTTGTTCACATATACACTCTGAATCGCTTTGAAGCGTTTGGAGGGTTTAAACGGACTAGATGTGAAAACACCATTGGAAAAAGTGATGAATGTTGAGAAAGGCAGTCTACTCCACACTAAGATGGCTGAACGACTTTTTTTTTAAATATGTGACATTTGAAAAATCACATGATTGCAGAGCATGAAGTACAAATTCCAGAAGATCCACTAAACCTTCAAGAAATCTTCCTAAGCTACCACTCGTTTTCCATCCACAGTGAGACTTCTGTCTTTCCCCCCAGTCCCAGAAGCCTGATTGCATTCAGTGCTTGTAGCACTGTTTTTTTTTTCCTCAATCTTGTCGTATTAGCATATGCTCCTGACAGCTCTGGACGCTGGTGGGTGAATCGCTGCACCTCTCATGCGAGGTAGAGAGTATCGCTCGTGTTGCTCTGTGTCTCTTATGTAAACCACAGTCTTTAGATGGAGCTCGGCTGATGAGAGTCTCAATATGACGTGGCCCTCACCGTCTTCGAGCGAGGGAGTGGACCCGACAGGCCCTGATCGCCCGAATGACAGAACTAATCTCCAGACCCGGTGCCGTGCTCTGAACTGCGCTCTGATCAGCTCCCATTAGAACTAAACACTTTGAATGATTTGGAATGAAATCAAAATCAATTTGAGCAGGCCTCTATTCCCAGCCGTCCCCCTGGGCAACGGGCCTTGTCACATCCTGTCGTGCCGAAATTGACGTTTTGACACACGCATGCAGAGGAAAAAAGCACGAGAGTAAGTGAGTGGGGGGTAGACGAATGAGTGAAGATGAGAAAAAGCGAAGCCCGATGAAGACGAGGCGCTGGTAGTTTAGGAGTACTCCAACGTGTCACTGCTGAGGAAGGACAATCATGAGCTGTCAGTCAACTCATTTGCAGGACTGGAAACCTTTAGCTTGGTGGAGAGTTTTCCTGACTCGTGGGGCTTGCATCCATGCTCTTGTCCAACCTCGGTTTTAGCTCTGTTGGCTGAGATTGACAGAGTGACAGAAGACATGTAACCATATGGACAGGTCTGTAATGTGAGGTTTGAATGACGGGATTTGTCACCCGGATGGACAGGGTGAAATGTGATTGGCAGGCTTTTGCCTGAGAACGCAACTTTTTTCCTTCCCCCTGCCTGTGACATTATACATCTGCCAGAGACATGCACGTCTAGGCAACAAGATGGCAGAGAGAGACAGAACAAGATATTTGTTTTGTGTGTCTCTGCGTATCTGCATGAGATGTGCGCCCGTGTTTGTATACGCTCACGTTCGAGCATATATTTGTGAGCGTGTGCGTGTGTACATCGAATCAGGTCACCGCGAGGTGAGTGCCCTTATCAGGCACGCACAGAAGATGTCGTCCATTTGCAATGACACAGGCTGCGATATCAGGCCTCTGCTTGCAGGGGAGATGTACTGTTTGTCGTTTTGACAGTTTTGGGTGGGCTCAGTGCATTTCACGGTGCACACAGTGTGAACTTTGCTGAAGAACCGTCAGTCTCTTGCTGTCTTATGGGGATTTCAATCTTAAACAAAACAGGGAGAGAGTAGAAGAGCGTGGATATCACATACAGGATCCTTTAATCAGCCCCAGTATTGTATCACTGCAAAACATGGATGTTTTTTTTTTTGTATGTATTGTAGATGTTATTATTACACAAAGGTTCAAAATAACTTCATAGATTGTTGGGAATTAATTGAAGCCGACACCCACGGGCAGATGTGCGGTTCGCTGCCACCGCTGTTGATGCTTGAACAAGAAACACACAAATAATAACAATGATCTTGTTCACATATCCATGCACTTGGGTTGAAAATAAGTAGAGTGTCTCGGAACCACCTTGGTGTAATGAAATTATTTTTGGTTGATGTTACTTAATGATATAATTAGTCTGTTTTGTAATGATAATTAATTGCTCCATAATTAAAGGTCCATCAATGGACATTAATTTAAAGTGTTGGCTAATTAATCTTTTCTTGAAGATTGCACCTGGATATGTGGTTTTGCCTTAAGCAGATGTGCAGCTCAAGGCAAGCCAGAACAGAAACATCTGGAGCAACTTCACGTGTGATATGATGCTTCCACTGGTCAGTAGCCAAGTGAGGATACGACACTCTCGCTAAACAAGCGAAACGGAAATGTCAGTTCATTGTACACATGCTGACATTGAGGGCTATGCTGGTTGGTTTGGGGGTCCGCATGTCACTTTTGACCCTGTGGAGGCATGAGGCCATCAGTGCGATTAGTCATGGGCGCACGCTTGACTTTAACATCCACTGAAAGGCGGAACTGTTGCTCTGACTGATCAAACTTGTTGGATACCATGGAACATATTTAGTTATTGTACAGCAGCCAAGATGAACATAGGAGTTTACAATTAGATGCAAGGTTCATATGCTAATATCAGCCACTGGTCAGAAGGTCAAGAATTATTTTACTTTTTTTTTTTTTTGTAGAAAATAAGGATACTTCACAAGCCACCTATTTAAGGACAGTTTCCATCAACATGGCGATACAACTATAGAAAATGTGTGTAATATTGTCATCTATCTATCTATAGACATGACATTATCTGAGGATATTACACAGCTGTTTAACTTCACATACATTAATTGGTGTCAGAACAAACACTATGAACAAATAGTTAAACTGAAGTACAGTCAGAGCAGTGTTGCTAACATGTGGTGCAAGGAAAGAAGCCTGAAAACATGTAAATATACACTCACCTAAAGGATTATTAGGAACGGCATATTAATGCTGTGTTTGCCCTTTATCGTCTTCAGAACTGCCTTAATTTGTGGCATTGATTCAACAAGGTGCTGAAAGCATTCTTTAGAAATGTTGGCCATATTAATAGAATAGCATCTTGATGGAGTTGATGGGGATTTGTGGGATGCATATCCAGGGCACGAAGCTCCCGTTCCACCACATCCCAAATATGCTCTATTGGGTTGGGATCTGGTGACTGTGGGGGCCATTTTAGTACAGTGAACTCATTGTTATGTTAAAGAAACCAATTTGAAATGATTCGAGCTTTGTGACATGGTGCATTATCCTGCTGGAAGTAGCCATCAGATGATGGGTACATGGTGGCCATAAAGGGATGGACATGGTCAGAAAAATGCTCAGGTTGGCCGTGGCATTTAAACTATGCCCAATTGGCACAAAGGGGCCTAAAGTGTGCCGAGAAGAAAACATCCCCCACACCATTACACCACCACTACCAGCCTGCACAGTGGTAACAAGGCATGATGGATCCATGTTTTCATT